CGCCAGCCAGCATCTGCAATTTATTTCCTTTTGCAGCTTTGTCAAGTACACTTGTCCTGGGGGCAGCAAAGTATGGCTGCCCACCTGTTTTTGTAAATAAGGTTTTATTGAAACATAGCCACACTCACTTGCTGATTATCGTCCATGGCTCCTTTTGTGTTATAAAGGCACAGTTGAGTGGTTGTGACCGAGACCTTTACTTTGTGGGCTGCCTGCTGCACTCTGGTCAGCTCATAGTCCAAGGAAGCCTCAGAGTGTCATCTCTCAGGGCTGACACTGATCTTGATCGGCGCTGCTAGTGGTGTTGGACGGCGATCTGCATTTGCTCCTCCTCGTGTCTCCAAGCTCTGCTCCCCTGCACCCCCAGCCCGCATATACATGCGCCTCTCCTCCCTCTCTCTCCCTGCTCCTTGATTGCCACGCCCCAATCTACTCCATCAGTCCCTGCGGAGTCCTGGCGGCAGGCAGGGGGCCGTGGAAGTGGGGCTCAGCCACCTGGGCCAATCCCCTCGCGACTCCTGCTCATCTCTGTCTGCAGGTCTCCATTGCATCATTTGAAACCAGTTTTTCCTCAGTTGCACCTCGGGTCTGCATCTCTCTTGCTTTATCACGGACTGCACTTTAACTTCCGGGGTGCACCTTTCCATCCTTTAACACAGATATTTACCGAAGCCCGCCCCTCGGGCGCTCACGGAGATCCGCAAGTTTGCCATGAAAGATGCGCGCATTGATACCAGGCTCAGCAAAGCCATGTGACCCTAAGGAATCAGGCACGTCCCTGGGATACCGCATCCGCGTGAGATCACCCAGAAAACGTAACGAGGGGGAAGGTTAGCCAATCAAGCTAACACCTTGGTTACCTATGTACCTGCCACCACTGTCAAAAATCTACGGGCAGCCAATGTGGGTGAGAACTGATTAAAGCTATAAAACTGCAAAAACAACAACAACAACAACAACTGGAATAGGATCGGGAATTTTTGGGAGATGCTTCCCTAGGCTCCAGGTTTCTTCAACACTCATGGCTTCTCTGCACCTCCCACTCCCTGCTCCCCAGAGAGGAAGGAGGTCTGATGCCGTCGGTAAGCCTAGGATAGGCATAAGGACTAGGTATGTTGCCCATTCCTCAATGTCTTTCTCCTGGACAAAGCTACCCAGTAGCCCATGCTCTGGTCTTGCCATTTGGTGGGGTAAGTTCCACTCAGGCAGGGAGGAGAATCTGGTGGGTGGAGTGGGATTACTGATAAAGGAGAGAGAGAGAGAGAGAGAGAGAGAGAGAGAGAGAACACAAGCACAGGAGTGGGGTGGGGGTGGGGGAGACAAATCTTCCATTTGCTGGTTCACTCCTCAAACTGCCACAACAGCCAGTGCCAGCTCAGGATGAAGCCAGGAGCCCAGAATTCCATCTGGGTCGCCCACACGGGTGGCAAGGGCACAACTCTTTGGGCCATCTTCCACTGCCTTCGCAGGCACGTTAGCAGAAAGTTGGATCAGAAGCAGAGCAGTCGGGACTCGAACTGGCACTCCCATAAGGGATGCCAGCATCGCAAGCTGCAGCTTAACCCATTGTGCCACAGGGCCACCATGCCCAGTCCCACAGAGAGTGAAATCTGACGAGCAACATCTCTCTAGCAGACCGGCGCTTTGGTGACCAGGCCATGTGTCTTAGGATGCGTTTCCCCACCAGGAGACACCAAAAAAAGGATCTGAGTGCCAGCAGCTTACATGGAAGCCCCAGACAAGGTTTGTTTCCCGATCATTTAATTTCACATTTGCCGATTAGGACACAGCTGTTCGTGGAGGTCACAGGTCCTTGCCCACCACCAGGAGGGCCCCCTGCAGCTGCCTCCGTGCAGTGAGCTCCCTGCCAGAGCCCCGGCTCCCTCTCAAGAGGAGAGCCATGGAGCCACCAGGGCCAGCACCACCACCACAGCCCTAATGTTCCACGTTCTTACAAGTTGGAAGTCAGAGCTTTTAATTTACGTGCTTAGTGCTCCAAAAATCCTCTGATGGAAATGACACTGCCACCCCCCCCCCACCTCCGTCCATTGAAACTGGCGATGGACAGGCACAGAAACCCAGATGGAGGAAAAGGAAGAGAGAGGAAACCTGCCACAGGACAGCGGGGCTGGAAACGTAGCTGTGAGCAAAGATGGGAAAGAGATGGAAGCTGAGGGAAAGCGAGGGAGGCACAGCTGAGCCCCGGATGACAGAAGAACAGAAGTGGCAGACAGATTGAGAAAGACGGGAAGAGCTGAGGGAAGAGAGGAGAATGGGACACCAGCAGCCGTGATTATGCCCAACGCTGCAGATGCACCGTCCCATAAAATAAGGGACCGAACCGTCCGACCCCAGGGATTGAAAAAAAGATTGATGAGCAGCAAAGGAGAACAGTCCAAAAACGTGTGCAGGGGGCACCCTCCCAGCTCCAAGGGACATCCCAAGAACCACTGGGACAGCTGAAGTGCTTCCTGCCCAGACAGCCGTCAGCTGGCCAGCAGCTCCAGCACAGCCCGCGCACTCCCAGGAATGCAGAGACAGAATCAGACGCTGCACTTTTCCCACGGTCCCCTGGTGACTGCTGAGCCCAGTGGAGTGCGGGGAGCAATGGGTTAAACAAAAGCGTTCTGAGTGTTACCCGGGCTCTGAGGACGAGGACAGCGACCTCGCTGGACCCAGCCACGTGAGTGCCATTGGGGTGCTCTGCCTGTCTCTTCCCTCTTCTCCTACTTGGGTATTTGCTGCCCATCCACTCTCTCTAAAGCCTTTCTCCAGACTGAATGTGTCCGCATCCCAGCATCGTAGGCAGAGAAATGAGGCTACTGGGAGCTCAAGTTTTCTCGCCTCAGCTCCCAAGGCACCGCAGGGAGACTTGGTGTTAGGAGGAGCACTGCTGGGAAATGTGCTGATTGGCCCATCTTGGGTCAGGTGTTGTCCCTGGGCCCCGCCCCCTGGGAGAAGGGGTTAGAATCCTGGCTGGCTAATCCATCCCCTGCCCACCCCCACACCCTCAGGACAGGGGCAGCTTGGGTCCAGCTGGGCAGGGTGGGACTCTCCTGGATAAATGACTCAGCAATGACCCCCTTGGGCTGTGCCTGAAGAGGAGTGGCCACCGGTGCCTTCGCGAGGGTCTCTGCATGAAGTCAAAGGGACCCTGCCGTCTGGTCCACGCGTTACTGGAAAGTTAAGTCTGTTAGAAGCCTAAGCTGCAGCAGAGTCGGTCCTGTCATCTTCCTGAGAAAAGTGGCCCTCCCACGTCAGCATTTGTCTCGGGTTCTGGAATGTCTACAGACTATGAGTCTGCTGAAGAGTTTAGGCATTGCTGGGGAACTTGACTTTGCAAATGTGCACATGGCTTGCTTGGGCTGAGCTTGCAAACTGTCTATCACCCTCGTAGGGGAGGTGACCATGATGACTGTTTTCAAGGCAACATTTGGATGTGTTGTGACAGCTTGGTGTGTTGGTTCTAGGCAGAGCCCTTGGTGATGCGCAAATAGCGCCACCCCCTGTCTGTGGGAAGAACTGCAAAGGTCCTTATCACATTCTAGCAGTGCTAAGGATACACCTTGCTATCCAAAGGCATTCAAACTGGAAAGAACACTGGAGATATGAGCGGCTGTCATTAACATAGAAACCGCAGAGGGCTCTAGAACCTTGCAGACATCTGCTTTTTGGCTATTGCGCTTGACATAGCTGAAATATGCCCAAATCAAGGTGTTTGAATAATCCTGGCAGAACTCACAGGTGCTTTAAGCTTTGGCAAAGAGTGGTCACAAACAAGCTGGCACTTCTAAAGGAGCTTTTCAAGAGCCAGCGCCAACCGTGTACGCTAGAAGAGCCGTGCCCAGCAAGGCAGCCCTGCCAGGGTTGGCACAACTCTCCATGAAACTTTGCTTGCGTTTTGTTGCTCCAGATTTGCCAACAGGCACAGATCACTTAACTCAGCTGGCCTTCTCAATGGCACAATGACAGACCTCTAAAAGGTCAAGTTCTGGGGCAATGTCGGCATCACTGTCACGGATCTGGGGGACTCTTCAGTGTCTCTAGGGACTGAAGTCTGAGTTTGCCAGGGGAATATTTGACATTGAGACAAAAACAGAAATAGATCAGCCCCCCCTCCCCCCTCCCCCTGGCCAGAATAACATCTGTTACTACTGTTCTGAAATGGCATAAAAACAAGAACTCTAGATGGCTGGCTGAACATTCCTCTTCAAGCCACCGCGGGTTACTTAATAATGATGGTGAACTTGGAGGAGGTGGCAGCAAAATTCGATCTTAAAAAACAAATGACTGGGGCTGCGTTGTGTTGCAGCAGGTTAAGCCAACACCTGTGATACTGGCATCCCAGATTGGCGCTGGTTTGAGCCCTGGCAACTCCACTTCTGATCCAGCTCCCTGCTAATGCACCTGGGAAAGCAGCAGAAGATGGTCCAAGTGCTTGGGCCCCTGCACCCATGTGGGAGACCCGGAAGAAGCTCCTGGCTTTGGCCTCACAAAGCCTTGGCCATTGCAGACATTTGGGGAGTGAACCAGTGGATAGTTCTCTCTCCCCCCCCCCCCCCCCGCCGTAACTCTGCCTTTCAAATAAATTTTTTAAAATATTTTTTAAAAACCCAAATGATAAAGTCTAACCATAAATTCCAGTAGAGAAGATAAATCAAACTCTTGGGACTCAAATCTCTAAAATGTCAAATCTCTCTACCTTAACTCGAACATTGTAAGTAAAATGAATGCTGAGTTCATGGAGAGGAGGGGCTCCAAGCACTGGTTACCTAAGGACGAGAAGGCTCTTTTAGAACTAAACAAAGGCATCTGCTGTGTTTAAACTGAGGGTCTGTGAGCACCAGCCAGGGACTGAGCTGACAGCCTTTTCTGTAATAAAGCAATAAATCAAGGGGATGGTTAGGGAAGCAAGAAACACATTCTTCCTTTGTTCGACCAATTAAGCAATAAGCCATCTGGGTCTTCTTGTTAATTACTACCAAATACAACTCAAACAATTGAATTCAGTCTTTTATTTAATTATATTAATTTACTCCAGCAACATCAAATACCCACAACGCCAAAATCAAGGTTCATTAAAAAATAGAGGTCTTGTTTAATTTTTATCCTTCAACCATTAATATCTTTTTTTAAAGGATTGATTTAATTGTATTCAAAAGTCAGAGTTACCGCGAGAGGCAGAAGCAGAGACAGAGACAGATAGGTCTTCCATTTGCTAGTCCACTCCGCGGATGGCTGCAATGGCCCAGGCAGGGCCAGGCCAAAGCCAGGATCCAGGAGTTTCTTCCAGGTCTCCTGTGTGGGTAGCAGAGGCCCAAGCACTTGGGCCATCCTCCACTGTCCTAAGCAGGCCTTTAGCAGGGAGCTGGATGGAAATCGGAGCATCTGGGACACAAATCGGCGCAGGCATTGTAGGTGGTGGCTTTACCCACTACGCCACCATGCTGGCCCCAACCATTAGTATCTTTACAAGGTGGCTGTCTGAGGATTTTTAGCTCCATCTCAGCCTCAGGATGTTAGGGGAATTTGTGTTAGGACAGAGCCAAAGTGAGAAGACAGAGGCTGAAGTCTCTTCTCTAGATGGGATGTTGACTCCATTAGCTGGGACTGTCCAGGTGACCAGCGGCTGCTGTTGGAACGTTCTGTGTCTGTGCTGTCCAGTGCAATAACCATGTGCAGCTATGGAGTGCTCCAAATGCGGCCAGTGCAATCCGGGCACTTTTGCTTTTAAAATTTGTATGGAACTGCTATTGAAATGGACACAATTTGTCAGTGGCTGCTGTTTAGCCTGCACTGGTCTAGCTGTGTTCTAAGGAGGGATAATCGCAGTGGGCCATGGACTTAGCAGGTGGAGAATGGATACAGAATTCCCACAACTACTGTTTGGAAATTCACACTGCTACCTTGCTTTCCTCATTTGAAACATGCTGTGTCCTGAGGCAGCCGTAAGGAGAGGAGGCTTCTAAGCTGGCCATGTGGAGCGCTAACTCCCTTGGGGAGAGAAATGGGCTTGAGCGGTGCTCTCAATAGCAGTGCCAGTTGCTCTCAGCAAGTCTTACTGAAAGAGGCAGGCCAGGTCCCAGCGAGGAGCGCCAGCCAGCTCTTGTTAATGCCGTCTGCTCTAGTTGAGGTATGCTCTTGCCACATCCGCGAGTGTAGGCACATTTGGGGGTGTCCCAAACCAGTGCTGTGCACTCAGAGAGGGTGCAAAAGGCCACGCCCTCCCCCCCACCGCGACATTAGCACCCAACTCTTTTCTCCTCTCAGGAGTTTTGGCTCCGACCCTGGCATTCCCCTCCCAGGGAGGTCTGTCGCTTCGCAAAGGCTGCTAATTCTGGTTGTGTCCATGCCGCCAAAGCACGAGGAGCGCCTCTCACCTGGGAACCCCTTTGCGCCACCTGCAGGGGAGTGTGGTTATGGCGACCCCTGCTGGAGAGGGGCTAGCGCAGGTGGAAAGTTCCGAGGGAACAGAAAAGTCTTTGCAAGGCTGGGTTGAGCTGGAGAACCGGGCTGACGCCCTCTTGCGTCCTCTCTCCATCCTTACTCCTCTCCTCTCTGCACCGTCCCTTCCAATGAGCATGAGCCTCCTGCCAATAAGACCAATCCGAGGCTTTGCAATGCAATGCTGGGCTGTGCTATCCTCTTCCTTCCTTGGCCACGGACAATCCAAGATAGGACTCTTAGAAGACAAACAAACTGACCCGCTGGACGGTGCGCTGGAGGTGCTGCCAAGAACGTGCAGGGATTTTCCCTTCTCAGAAATCCAAGCAAACGTTGGACCCTCAGTGGGAAAACAAAAAATCTCCTGTATGAAGAATGATCGCCTCCCAGCGATGAAGACGATGAATCCATTTTCCATCTTTTTGTTAAACAGCAAGCAACCAACAGGATCAGGTGTGAAAAGGAGAGACTTTTCTATATTCTTCCACGGAGTTTCCACTTCCTGAAACACGCAGGGTCCTTGAGTTTTCCCCGGGATTCTCCCTTCCTCTGTCACGGCGTTCACCGTTCATCCACGGCGCTGACCTGGTCAAATCGCCACAGCTGGCTGGCTTTGCCGTCACACGGACGCAGGTGCAGCTCCTTATGGATTCCGTGCGCCACAGCTTCTATGCATTTCCCAGAAAGAACGTGGACAATCACCCCGTTCTGAAAACAGAAAAGGGCAAAGAAAGGGAACCCAGGCGCTCACAATCAGTTAGCAAAGACTGCTTTTAAGATTCGTGCTCAGGCCGGCGCTGCGGCTCAGTAGGCTAATCCTCCACCTAGCGGTGCCGGCACACCGGGTTCTAGTCCCGGTCGGGGTGCTGGGTTCTTTCCCGGTTGCCCCTCTTCCAGGCCAGCTCTCTGCTGTGGCCCGGGAAGGCAGTGGGCCCTGCACCCCATGGGAGACCAGGAGAAGCACCTCCTGCCTTTGGATCAGCGCAGTGCACCGGCCGCAGTGCGCCAGCCGTGGCAGCCATTGGAGGGTGAACCAATGGCAAAGGAAGACCTTTCTCTCTGTCTCTCTCTCTCACTATCCACTCTGCCTGTCAAAAAACAAACAAACAAAAAGATTTGTGCTCATAGTGAAGAGAATTGTTGACGTGGCATGAACTGGCCTGGAAAGGGACTGTAGTATTTTGGTTAATATAAAATATAATTTAGGTAGCTCTAAAATTTGGGTGTCATTCAAAGCCTTGGTCATTAATCCAATTATCTGTACCACCTGCTGTGTAATTGTGTCATTTCTTAGAAAATTCCAGTTGGTGTAATTCCAAGAAAGAGTATGTTCTGACTTGCTACTACATTCGTGACATTATTGTGATCACTGTACTTGCAAATTTCTGTTTTCAAAAGGATTTAAATGGGGCCAGCATCATGGCGTAGCAGGTAAAGTTGCCTGTGATGCTGGCATCCCATATGGATACCTGTTCAAGTCCCAGCTGCTCCACTTCTGATCCTGTTCCCTGCTGATGGCCTGGGAAAAGCAGCAGAAGATGGCCCAAGTGCTTGGGGCCCTGCAACCCATGTGGGAGACCCGGATGAAGCTCCTGCTCCAGCCTGGCCCAGTCTCGAATCTTGCAGCCATCTGGGGAGTGAACCGGTGGATGGAAGACCTCTCTTTCTCTACTGCTCTCTCTCTAACCCTGATTTTCATATTTGAATAAGCCTTTAGAAAAGAAAAAAGATTTCATCAGCTCTACGCTCCATTAATTCTGCAACTTAGCCTTGCTACCACCAGGCTGTAGTAGAGAGCAAGACACAAGGACACACTGAAAGCCTAAGCCCATTGTGTTGAGAAAATTATGGTTGTTCCCTGCTCAAGACTGCATTTCCAGGAAAAACAAAGCAACAAAATGGCTTTCTTTCTGAAAATGCTACTTACTTATTTTTGAGATATACTATAATATTATTGGCAGTTTTTACACAACGTTGTGCAACCATTTTCTTTACTGTAAAAAGAAACATGCCTCACCCCATTAGTGTTTAGGCCACACTGCAGCCTCATCCCACCACTAGAAACCACTAAGGCGCTCGCTGTGTTTACAGAGACGCCTGCTGTGGGAATTTCATAGCAACGGAAGGACAGAGTGTGTGCTGTCTTGCAACTCACTTGTCTCACTATGTACAGTGTTTCCAGGGTCCATCCGTGTCGTAACATACATTTTTCCTGTCTTCTTTTTTTTTCTAAGTGTGGTCCAGCACATAACCAAACTCGCCATCCTAACCGTGTGTAAGTGTAGAGTTTAGTGTTGCTAAATACACTCACAGAGTTGTGAAACAGACCTCCACAACTCTCCATCTGCAAAGCTGACCTGCTGTCCCCGTTCAGCCACGACTTTGCTGCCCTGCCCCTTCTCCACAGCCCTGGGGAATTCCAGCTGCACTTTCTGTATCTATACCTCGTCCACCTTTGCATCTCAGGTGAATGAAAACTTGTGTGTGTGTGTGTGTGTGTGCACGCATCTGGCTTGTGTCACTCGGAACCATGCCCTCATTTGTTGTAGCCCTTTTTAGGGCTGAAGCATATTCCAGCATATGTGTGTACCACAGGCTGTTCTCTGTTCATATGTGGATGCTCGGATTTCTCCTCTCTCGGGCCACTGTAAGCAGTGCTGCTATGAGCGGTACCCCGTTCCTTTTTCTGCTAAAACTGTGCTGGGTATCTCTCACTCATATTTTACTTCTTTTTTAAATTACTGTTTCTAAGATATATCTCTCTTAAGAACTTGCTTAGACTGGCCCTTTAAGGGCCTGACCTGGGCTCTTAAGACTTCTCTGCACCTGTCCCCACAGGGTCCCGGCTCCCTTGTCACCAGAGCCCAAGGAGCTTATTCAAGCTCAGCTGAAGTTGTCCAGGACAGGATTTACTTCCTTTGCAGCCTGCTTGCAAGAGAATCTGTGCACGGAGTTCTGTTTGGTTATTTTGCTCTCTCTATTACCAAACAGAAGTTGAAGAAACATTTTAAAAAATGTAGTTGTGGGGGCCAGTGCTGTGGCATGGTGGGTAAAGCCACCACCTGCAGTGCCAGAATTCCATATGGGTGCTGGTTCGAGTCCCGGCTGCTCCACTTCTGACACAGCTCTCTGCTATGGCCTGGGAAAGCAGTAGAAGATGGCCCGAGTCCTTGGGCCCCTGCACCCATGTAGGAGACTGAAAGAAGCTCCTGGCTTTGGACTGGCCAAACTCCAGCAGTTGGGGCCATTTAGGGAGTGAACCAGTGGAGGGAAGACCTCTCTCTCTCTCTCCCTCCCTCTCTCTCTCTGCCTCTCCTTCTCTCTGTGTGTAACTCTGACCTTCAAGTAAATAAATAAATCTTTTAGAAAATGTATTTGTGAGGCCTGTGCTGTGGCTCACTAGGCTAATCCTCCACCTGCGGTGCCGGTACCCCGGATTCTAGTCCCGGTTGGGGCGCCGGTTCTGTCCTGGTTGCTCCTCTGCCAGTCCAGCTCTCTGCTGTGGCCTAGGAGTGCAGTGGAGGATGGCCCAAGTCCTTGGGCCCTGCACCTGCATGGCAGACCAGGAGAAGCACCTGGCTCCTGGCTTCAGATCGGTGCAGTGCGCCGGCCGTAGCGGCCAATTTGGGGGGTAAATCAATGGAAGGAAGACCTTTCTCTCTGTCTCTCTCTCTCTCACTAACTCTGCCTGTCAAAAAAAAAAAAAAAAGAAAAAAAGAAAAAAGAAAAGAAAATGTATTTGTGTGTACGAACACCCAGACTCACTCCAGAGAGGACTGAGGGGAGAGGAAGCTGTGCGTTGACACTGGGGCTGACCTATCGCCTTCCCGGTGCCTGGGACCCTCACTCCGGCTCCGTGCTTACCCCCCGGTTCCTCCCTGTGGATGACCAACCTCTGGAAGGCACCATGGGCTTTTCTCCCCCAGGGTGATGGAGCCCCAATGTTACTAAAACAGTGAAATAGATGCTCACGGTGCAATTTGCATGAAAAGGAAGGACGTTTCCTCTGCTTCCCCAGATCCGCCCATCTACAGCGCTGTCTGCGCTTTTGCTGGGTCTGGGGGACTCTGCATTGCTCCTAAAGCCACACCATAGCTGAGCGCTCCTGTGGTGTGTGCCACCACCCTCGCTGTGACCAGAGCACATAGACTTCAAAGGAGGGGCTGACGCCCCCCCCCCCCATCAAGGCCATGGCTATTCACTGCTGTGACAAGCCAGCACATTGTGGGATGCTGGTGGCCCAACTCTGCTCTCTCTCCCTGCGGCCTTTGTACCAAGCCACTAAAGTTTAAGTTCAACAGCAGAGCGACAGGCCTGTGTTGGTGACGCCCCGCCCTCTTTGGAGAGCCCGGGGTGCAGCGCGACCACCAGCCCCTTCCTGCCGGGCCCTCCCGCCCGCACTGCTCACCTGCTGGAAGTCCCAGTGCTGCGCGTGGACGGCAGGGCCTTCCCCGGTGCAGTTCTGAAGGAGCACCTGCTCTCGCCTCACATCCAGGCACAGGTGCCGCGGGCTGTGCAGGTGGATCTCCTTCCTGCTGGTGTGCTCCAAGCGCTGGCGCGGAGGGAACGGCTGTTAGTGCAGCAAGGAAGGGCCGCAAGAACTCCCGAGTTCTCAGTGTGGCCTTCAGATGCCACGGGGTCCGCAGAGCCACACACCTGCCCGCGGCTACACTCGCCCTGGTCTCCGCAGTCCCAGCCCCCCAGCTGCGCCTGCCTGCATATTTACACACTGGGGCATAGTCCGTTCTCCACATCACAGACGAGGCCATGCAGAACGCTGTGTGTTTTCTGAGTGCAGCCTCTCCTAGCCTGGGTGACTGTTTGCTGGGGGGATGCGCCCCCTTGTGGCTGCGATGGGATGGCGCACAGCTTCTCGAGAGGGGTTTGAACCTTGAGAAGTCTGTGCAGACTGATTCGAAGCCATGTTCCGGCTAAACCATTTCTCGTCTGTGCCTGCTAGACACAGCCTGAAGAGCTTTTATGTCAAGTGTGTGACTTGGATAGGATTGGTTTTGAGAGTCACCTGTGTGGTCTCATGGGACCTCGTGCTGTTGGTTTTACGTAGTTGGCTGAAGACTGCCATTGCTGTCTTTTTATATTTTAAAAGATTTATTTATTTGTTTATTTATTTGAAAGGCAGAGTTACAGAGAGGCAGAGGCAGAAGCAGAGGCAGAGGCAGAGGCAGGGAGAGAGAGGAGTCTTCCATCCGCTAGTTCACTTCCCAGCTGGCTGCAATGGCCGGAGCTGGGCCGATCTGAAGCCAGGAGCTAGGAGCTTCTTCCAGGTTTCCCACGTGGATGCAGGGGCCCAAGGACTTGGGCAATCTTCTACTGCTTTCCCAGGCCATAGCAGAGAGCTGGACTAGAAGTGGAGCAGCCGGGACTTGAACCAGCACCCATATGGGATGCCAGAACTGCAGGCAGTGGTTTTACCCGCTGTGCCACAGTGCCGGCCCCTGTCGCTGTCTTGAAATTCTTAATAATTCCAGGTAATTGGGGAGCCCACCTTTTCGTTTTGCACCAGGCCCTGCAAATTAGGTAGCTTCTCGTCCCTTGTGGGCTGGGGTGAGCCCTGCCTGCAGCCAATGCCCTGGGTCCCTGAACTTGATGGTGACCCTCTGCTCACACCCGGCAGAATAGCGGGGCATAGGCCATGTGATCCCACTTGCAGGTGCCCTTTGATTCTTAGCCCCGTGGAGAGTTCCCTCTCCTGCGTGCATACTGTTAACCACGCAGGAAAAGGGTGTGCCACCCTCTCTACCCGGCATATCGCATCTGGGAGTTTTAGGGAAGAGCTTTCAACCCATCTACTTTGTATTACTGCTGCATCCATGAGTCCTGGTTAGTTTCCTTTAAAAAAGAAAGCAACAAGGGGCTGGTCTGCGATGTAGCAGGCTAAGTCTCCATCTCCAGTGCCAGCACCCACATGGGCACCAGTTCGAGTCCCAGCTGTTCCACTTCCAATCCAGCTCTCTGCTGTGGCCTGGGAAAGCAGTAGAAGATGGCCCGAGTCCTTGGGCCCCTGCACCTGCACCTGGTGCCTGGCTTCAGATTGGCTCAGCTCCAGCTATTGCAGCCTTTCGGGGGAGTGAACCAGCGGATGGAAGACCTCTCTCTGCCTCTGCCTCTCTGTAACTCTGCCTTTCAAATAAATAGATGAAATCTGAAAAAAAGAAAGCAACAAGAGGTGAGATGCGGTGCGAGGCAGCTGCGCCATGGTCACCTGCAGGGGAGGAAGCCGAGACTCGGGGAGGGAAGAGGTGTGCTGAGCTCCCACAGCTCGAAGCAGGGACTCTGGTTCAACCCTCCTGTGGCTGGGGGGACTGCAGGGCCTGGGCCATTTCCGCCTGGCCCTGTGGCTCCCTCACTTAGCTCTCTCTACTTCTGTCCTCGTGCCTGCGCCAGGTGGGCGTGGCTCCCGCTGTGCCCTGGAAGACAGATCCTGGGCATCTCCTTCTGGCCTCCATGCCCAGGCCCGCTCTCTGCACTGCAAAGTGGCCTCTGCCTCAGCCTCTGCCCAGCCTCCAGACCCTCTAAGAGGTGTCCTGTCCTCTGCCCGGGCTCCCCGGGCCTTGTCTAATGAATAGCTTCAGAAATTGGGCTTTGCTCTTCCTCAGGGCCTTGGGGATCTGTTAGCTTAACACAAAAGCCCCTCTCACAACTGAAAGGAATGCTACTGGGGACAGGCCAGATGCTGCGGGTTATCTCCCAAGCTGGGAACGTGGTGGCCCCAACCCTCAGGCAGCCCCGATGCTGGCTTTCTGCCGCCCTGGCCAGTGACTCCCATGAGATTTTGAGAAGGCGAAATACCCTAAACTAACAGGAGACTTCCTAATGAACAAGGGGCCCCACGGAGCTGGAATGACCCTGCCGCGTCTGGATCCTTCTCCTGACTTGATGGGCTTCGTCCTCTCTCCTGAGCCCCACCTGAAGCCTGGAGGCATCAGGTGGCAACCCCTGGGCTAGTGACTCTAACTGTCACTTGTCCCACCTGTTACCCAGGACGCTTGGTTACACAGCCTCTCTGCTCCCCCTTGCTAAGATGCCCTGGTTCTTACGCAGCCCGTGCCTGTGCCGACAGCAAGGGGCGGAGTGGGCAGTGGTGGGATAGATCATCGGAGTTTGGGGACTGCTGGCACTCTAGGGACACGGGGGCCATAGCACACCCCAGAACAATGTCAGCCTCCTGCAAGTCTTCCTCCGGCTCCTATCCATATTGCAAAGGCTGACCACACACCTGTTCCTGCCGGCTGTCATTGCAAGGGGCCAGCATCACGGGACAGCCTAAGATGTCCCCTTCCGCCGGGCAGTCTGCACAGAAGCCGAGGCCGGCGTTGTGGAGCTGAAAGTAGACGTGAACATGGAGATGAACCCCAGCCGCATTGTGACAACACCTTGGGTCCCCTCAGCCCCTGCCCTGCCCTCCCTCTTCTCTCTGGAGTGTGGCTCAGGGTGAGTTATCCAGGCCTCTCACAGGAGGCAGGCCCCACGGGTGCAGGTGAGCGGCCCTGGGTGGATTATTAGACTGCCCAGCGGCGTGCGTGAGGCTAACACGGCGGTGGGCAAAGGCCTCAGGGCCTCTGAGGTCCTGTTGAGCCTGTGGCTGCTGGCCAGGGTCTCGGATGAGCATTGAACATGCAGTTCTTGCCTTGGGAAGCGTCCCTGCCCCTTCCTGGCTCCCCGTCTTCCCGGACCACGCCTTGCCTTTCCCGAGAACCTGGGCCTGGGTTCCGATGGGTACAGCTCGGGGTAGATGTTGGCCAGAAACCAGTGGAATGTCCGGCAGCTCAGTCTCCTTTGCAGCTGCAAGCGCTCCGGGCAGTCCAGCTTCTCACTCTGCGGTGGGGGGAGAGGGACACTGGCATCAAGGCGGTGCAAGCTGGTTTCACACAGGAATTCCCAGGCTGGGGCAGGGAGGGCGTGGCTAGGCGGGATCAGGACTGAATGAGCCGCCAAGCCCCAAACTCCCAGGGCTGCAGGCTGCAGGAAGGATCACGTGTCCGGCATAGAGAGTTTGCAAAAGACAAGAGGATGGGTCTTCCCTAGAGGGAGCTGCGGCACCAACAGTCGGCTATTTCACCCCTTCCCGCAAACCCCTGTGTCGTCAGTGTACAGAGACCATGTCTGTGCTTGGACGACTTTTCTGTGCAAGCAGCAAAACTTGTCCTTTGCCCCCAGCTGGGTGTGGTGCAGAGTCTCCATGTGCATCGTGGAGCCAGGAAGTGACATGCAGGCAACCAAGTAGATGTCTTCGGGGTGGCCAATTTCCTCCACAAGTGAGGCATTCTCTCTTTTTAAAGATGTATTTATTTCTTTATTTGAAAGGTAGAATGACAGAGAGAGGGAAAGAGAGACAGCGAGAGGGAGAAATCTACCCGCTGGTTCATTCCCCAAATGTCCACAGCAGCTGGCGCTGGGCCAGGCCAAAGCCGGAAGCCTAGAACTCTATCCAGGTCTCCCACATGGTGGCAGGGGCCCAAGGACTTGGACCATCTTCCACTGCTTTCCCAAGTGCATGAGCAGGGAGCTGGATCGGAAGTGGAGCAGCCGGGACTCAAACCCGTGCACACAGGGGATGCTGATGTCACACATTCTCTCTCCTGAGAAGGTGTCCAGAGTGGATCGCTCTCATCTTTACAGACATTATTCCTCCCAGGAAGCTCCTGCCCACCAGGAATCTGACAGATCCAGCTGTGGCTCTGTGTTCCTGGCAGGATCCTGGCACAGCCCAGGGGCTTGCGCAACCCTTGGTGACCACTAGAGGGCGTTAGGAACACGAGGACCGTCAGCCCTGCTCAGGTCTTGCTCAGTGCCAGGCAGCTTCTAAACGCTCTGGACATGTGGGACTACTTCAAAGCGTTCGTGGAAATAGAATTACAAAATCATTACTTTCGTGCAAAAATTTTTTTTGAAATTTTCCACAATATGCATTTCCCATGAACTCTTTGAAGATACCTTGTGTTAATTCATTAGTCTTAAAGATCTATCTATTTATTTGAAAGGCAGAATGTCTGAAACAGAGCGAGAGCGAGAGAGAGAGCAAGAGCGAGCGAGCCCAAGGGCACTTTCTCCAGGTGAAAAAAAAAAATACCAAAAAGCCATCTTGGCGTTCAAGGAGCCCCCACACCCCAGGCCCCAGAGGCTACTGCGACTGAGGAAGGGAGCTGGATCCACGGTGGGGGAGGCAAAGCCTCGAGGACCAGAGAGGAAGGCGAGGCGCGGGGTCCTCTAGGGGGCGCCCTGTCGGAGGTTTTTTTCTGCACTTAGGGGAAGGCTGTTGGTGGAGGTGGGGGGTGGGGGGGCACAGCTTGCCTCCCCAGGCAGCAGCCCGTGGCAATCCTCACGTCCGGCTCAGCCCTGAGTAAGTGCGGGCTGGTGACAGACTGTGGGAGCTGTCCCTGGATCCCTGTGGACCCGGCAGTCCCAGCACAGCGAGCATGAAGTGAACCTACATCCCATGGAACGGCACGTCCGTGTTACCCCATAGGAACTGAGCCAAGCGGCAGCTCCCCCATCGATGATGCACTGTTTGGGGACGTTTCAAATGTTTACTGCTCTGTTTGCTTTTGTATGTATTTCACATCATGGATAATTTCCCCAGCCTGGAGCACTTTGCTCAGGGCCCTGGGAGACCTTGCTCATCTGCTTTCTGTCTCTCCTCTGGTCCCGTGGTGAAGGGCTGCACCCCAGAGACGTCAGCCCATGGCCATCAGGGAGTCCCAGCCAAGGCCGGAGGTGCTATGGGGGGGGGGTGCAGAGAGAGAGGCTGGGAGGGGCAGAGGTCAAGCCCATTAGGAAGAGGGTCCATTATCAGCATTCAGCTTAAGGGAAGCTCAAGCCGGAAGCTTCCATGTCCTCGTCCCGCAGGAGGCAGGAGCCCCCTTGGCCCAGCAGCCCCACCTGTCCCCCTCCTCACCTGGCTCAGGGACGTGGCCTCTGGGCAGTGCCTGTAGAAGGTGTCTTTGAAGGAGCCCAGCCAGGTCTCAGCGAGGCGGACCTTGCTCCGCAGCGCCGCCTCCTGGTCGAGCGGGGAGTGGGCCTCCCAGTCGCGATAGACGTGGCCCACCCGGGAGCAGGGCAGGATCTCAACGGAGCCACCACAGAGCCAGGCCTGCCGCGAGGGGAGTGGGGTGGGGTGGGGGGGAGAGAAACAGCCCTGCAGTCCACCTCCAGGCGGCCCTGCCCCCCGCCCCGCCGCGAGGGGCTGGCAAAATGCACGGACCGGACCGGACCAGAATCCTCCGGGTTTCCAGACCTGCCCCTTCCCGGCAGGGCAGGGAGCAGCAGGGGTGACCGCCCAGATGTGCCGCGCTGGAAGATACCCGCTCACACTTGGAAGCCGCTGCCCGCCACCCCCCTGCCCCCCGGGGGGTGGGATTCTGCAGCAAGAGGGGTGGCCCTGGTGGCCTGGGAGTTTCTCCTGCTAGGCACCAGAGCTGTGCGCCCGCTGTCCTCACACCGAGTCTCCCCCACGACAGGGGGCGTCTCTCTGCTCCTTACCTACCTAGCTCCCTCTCCCAAAGGCCCGAGGTTCGCTCCTAGGAAACCTCTGACCTCGCATACGGGGATACTGGTTGGAGGGAGCAGCACACCGTGGCTGGGGGCCCCAAACCCAAGATGCCCCAGGTGCCCCAGCAAACTCATCGTGCACAAGGAGTGCTTTGAATTTTTGGGAGAAAACACAGCAGCGTCTGTGAGGTCTCAAGCAAACCACAGCAGGGGTTAATCCGCGCTCTCAGCGGCAGGTCTGTGCACTTTCCATGACAGGGCTCTGGGAGGTTACTGTGGAGGAGCGAGCGCTACGCTAAGCCCGTGTGGACCAGCAGATGCTGGCGCTGGGGTCCAGTCTGATGCCAAGGCGGGGGAGGCTGGGCGGTGCCCAACAGGTGCTGAGTGTCAGATGGGCACGCACGGAGTCGCTTGGAGCACAGAGCTGCCCAGGACTTGTTCTGACGTGTGTGTGCTCAGACCCAAAGGGTGCTGTGGATGCAGACCACGTGAGAACCTCTGTGAGCTGTATGAAGGGGAAAGGACGGCTGGAAGCCTTTCTTCTCGCAGGAGACGGGGAAGGGGTGGAGGTAGGCGGGTGGGCCCTGACAGGGCAAGGACCTCAGAGGCCTTCTGCAGCCTTGGCCTTGACCTCAGAGAGTCCCACCTTCAGAGAGACCCCGCCCAGAGACTCCACCCACAGAGACCCCACCCACAGAGACCCCGCCCACAGAGACCACACCCACAGATACCCCTGCCCACAGAGACCCCACCCAGAGACCCCACCCACAGAGATCACACCCACAGAGACTCCGCCCACAGAGTCCACACCCAGAGACCACACCCACAGAGACCACACCCAGAGACCCCACCCAGAGACCCCACTGGCAGAGTCCACACCCACAGAGACTCATGTGCAGAGACCCTGCCCACAGAGACCCCACTGGCAGAGGCCACCCACAGAGGCCATCCACAGAGGCCACACCCACAGAGACCCCACCCACAGAGATCACACCCACAGAGACCCCGCCCACAGAGACCACACCCACAGAGACCACACCCACAGAGATCATCCCACAGAGATAACTCCCTGGGGTTAACTGTCTCAGACTCCCCTCACTCGGATCCCATCTCAGAGTTCCCGCCAGGGAGATCGTTGCTCATATTTTACAACGAGATTGGATCTGGCGCACGGAGTACAG